GAAAGTGTTCAAAGGGTCTCTATGTCCGGGTGGTTTCTCTGTAAAAGTCAATATCTAATAAGCGTAGCCTAATATTGTTTAATTTATGTGTACATATGAATTACGGAGGCTTGATTTTGTCTGTGTGGTTTTAATGATCATAATCAGTTAGGTAATAAGGAATTATAATTTATAAAGAAGAAAAATAAATGAAACTAGGTTTTTATTAAAATAACAGTATTGATATGTAAAATAATTTTTAAGATAATAAAGAGATTAATTGAGGATGACTAGCCAATGATTACAAAGGAGGTGTAATTACCAAATATCCTAGCTAATAATTTGAAGCATAGCTAAATCTAGGATTATCCTATGGAAAACCAAAAATTTGTCTATCCTCCTCTTCAGAGAAGGAGTGACTAAAATTAATAAACAACCTTATGAACTGAAACATCTAAGTAATAAGAGGAAAATAAATCAACCGAGATTCTGTTAGTAGTGGTGAGCGAAAACAGATAAGCCTGCTAGTATAAAAACTGGCTATAATTTATAACTTAATTATGAAAATATAAAAATTTTCTCCCTAACGTTTTACAGACGTTTTGGGTTAAAATTTCTGGAAGTGAATTTATTCCAAAGAGGGTGATAGTCCCGTAGTAATTAAGTTATAAATCGTTAACCTGCCTTAAATGGTAGTTAATGAAATAAAAAAAAAGTAAGATGGAAGATAATCTGTCTGAATAAGGGGAACCATCCTCTAAGGCTAAATATAATCATTGAGCGATAGTGAATAGTACCGTGAGGGAAATGTTGAAAAGTAAGTAGATAACTGGTGAAATAGAACCTGAATCAATAATCTTATAAGCAGTCGAAGTACGAAGAAGAATAAGATAGTATGACGACGTACCTTTTGCATCATGGGTCAGCGAGTTTATAGGTAGTGCAAGTAAAAAATATAATCATTCTAATCTAGAATGTTATAATAATACTTAGTGAAAGCGATCATAAATAACAATGGCTTTGGCCGTTGAAATTTATGAGGAAAGTACTATATATAAGACCCGAAACTAGGTGATCTTATCATGGCCAGGTGTAAGACCGAACCAACTACTGTTGCAATAGTACTGGATGAGCCGTGATAGGGAGTGAAAGGCTAATCTTACCTAGAGATAGCTGGTATTCTGCGAAACCTATTTAGGTAGGATCTATATTTGAATTATAGCAAGTAGTGCTCTGCTTTTAGCGATCCACTTATCATTTATGGTAATGTTGGGATTATATTAATTCTAAAAAATTAATGTAATTTATATCTAATGGGGGGATCATAATGATTCTACCCACTAAAGGCAATCAAACCAATGGTTATAAATTCAAGATATAGGGTCAGACTATGGGTGCTAAGGCCGATAGTCGAATGGGGAAGAGCCCAGAATAGTAACTAAGGTCCCTAAATAAATACTAAGTGAATATAAGGTAGTGTCGTATAGAAAACATCCATTATGTAGGCTTGGAGGCAGCAATCATTTAGAGAAAGCGTAAATGCTCAATGGTCTTTTTAATATATGATGCACCAATAATTTAACGGGTCTAAAGTATTTTACCGATGTTCTATCTGCAAAATAATAATCCCTCATACAAAATGAGGGTATATAACTAAAATTTTGCTGGGTAGCAGAACATACTATAAATGGAATGAAGGGTAATTTTCAATTACCTTGACATAATAGTAGAGATTATGCTGACATGAGTAACGCAAAAGCATTAAAATATGCTTCACCGAATGCCTAAGGGTTCCATAGAAAAATTAAATTGCTATGGGTTAAACGGTCTCTAAGAATATAAGCGAAAGCTTTGATCGATGAGGAATTTATTATAAATATAATTAACAGAAAATAAATTAATTCCCCGGCTCGTTCACACAATGGACGGTTGGGCGATTTAAGACTATCCGGTTTTAAATTATCCTTGTTACAAGGTCTGAAATTGATTTATTTTTTTTATTTATACAGGAAAAAATAATATATAATATACCGTACTCTAAACCGACACTGGTGGGCAGGTAGAAAATACTAAGGTGTTGAGAGAACTCTCCTGAAGGAACTAGGCAAATTAACTCTGTAATTTCGAAAGAAAGAGTGGCTGCTAGTACAAACTAGTGGCCGGCACAAAATTGTGAGGTACGACTGTTTACTAAAAACACAACACTTTGCCAACACAATAGTGGATGTATAAAGTGTGATACCTGCTCAATGCTAAACGTATAAAATTTTTGGTTTCACGATCAAAAATTAAACATTGGTCAATAGCGGCTGTAACTATGACAGTCCTAAGGTAGCTCCATTAAAGGAGTTCAGAGCAAAAGCTTTGACGATAAAAATTTTTTTATTCGCTGCCCCTGCCACGGGTGACCGTGGTTTGAACTTGGCTGTATGCTGGAAAATCCTAAAGCCTTAAGTACTAGATTTATCAGTGAAAATCTTAATGGATGTAACAATGGACAATCAGCAGGGAAGTTTTAGTAACCCCTCAGAGACTACACGCCGAGAATCTGTAAAATATTTATTATATCGTTTCATAAATAAAGAGGAATATTCTTTTAACAAATATCAACTATGACAAACACTAACTTATATGATTCTAAAATCTTAAATCCTTCGTGGGTTCAAGGTTTTACAGATGGTGAAGGGTGCTTTCATGTAAGTGTATCAAGAAATAATTCTACAAAATTAGGATATCAAGTATCTTTAGAATTCTCTATTACTCAACATATTAGAGACAAAGAATTAATAGAAAAATTAATTAAATTCTTTGGTTGTGGATATATTATAAATGATACACCAATGAAAGTACAATACCGAATTAGAGATAGAGATGAATTAGCTAAATATCTTTTTCCTTTTTTTGATGCTTATCCTCTTTTAACTATAAAATTAAAAGATTATGAAGATTTTAAAAAGGTTCATGCTATGTTAGAAAATAAATTACATTTAACACAAGAAGGGTTAGATGAAATTAGATTAATTCAAGCACGTATGAATAGAAATAGAAAATAAATATATATTGATGCCTGTAAAATAATAGTTAAGGCCTAACAGATTATGATATAGTCCAAACCATTATGAAAGTAGTGGAGTATTTCGAGCGAAATACCTAGTCAGATAATTGCTGACGTGCATGAATGGTTTAACGATACTTCAACTGTCTCCAGGAGAGACTCAGTGAAATTGAACTAACCGTGATGATGCGGTTTACCTACAGCTAGACACGAAGACCCTATGAAGCTTTACTGTAGTTAATTATTGTTAATTTTATGTTAAGATTCAGCGATAAGGTAGTTGATTAAACAAAATTGAAAGCCCTTAACTTAGTGTAAAATTAACTAAGATTTTATTTTTATATTATATAATTTATCCTTGTTCCGGGGCTTTGCCCTGAATTTTATGGTCCTAAACAGATCGTAGAATTTATAGGTTAAAATATATAACTATTAAAATATTCTTCCTTCGTAAAACGAAGGACCTGGATAATTTCATAGAATCATCCCTTGAAAAGGGGGTGATTTTATGAAGGTTCCCCAAAGGGAAAGTGATTAATTGGCAGTTTGCCTGGGGCGGGATTCTCATAAATAGTATCTGAGAAGTACAAAGGTTTGTTTAAATTGGATGGAAACCAATGGGTTTATGATAACCTAATTAAGCGTAATGGTATAAACAAGCTTAACTGTAAGACAAAAAAGTCGAGCAGACGCGTAAGCGGGTCATAGTGATCCGATAGTTTCATTATGGAATGGCTATCGCACAACTGATAAAAGTTACTCTAGGGATAACAGGCTAGTCACTGACGAGAGTCCATATTGACTCAGTGGTCCGGCACCTCGATGTCGACTCATCTTTTCCTGGGGGTTGTAGTTGCTCCCAAGGGTTCGACTGTTCGTCGAGTAAAAAGGTACGTGAGTTGGGTTTAATACGATGTGAATCAGTATTGATTATATCTACTGTAGGAATTAGAATAAGAATAGCAGTTTATCTTAGTACGCAAGGACCAGATTAAGTGCACCTATGGTTTACCAGTTGTATAACATTACAATGAATGCATGGCTGGAAAGCTATGTGCATAAATGATAACTACTGAAAGCATATAAGTAGGAAACAGAGCTATGAATTATTCTTTCCTTAGTTAAAACTAAGGATTAAAATTAGCAATAGACTATTGCTTTAATAGGCTACCCTATAAAGCTATTCAGCTTAGGGAATTCAACAACATTAGGCTCTGCCCGATGTAAGTTGATTATGAGGTGTAAGAATAGTAATATTTTCAGCCATCTAGTACTAAACATTAATAATCTTAAAAATTATCTTATCATTAACGCCCGGTTGGGTAATAAAAATAGAGCGATAACGGCTCTTAAAGAGTTTCTTTTATTAAATTTAAAGGCTCATAATAGGCTTTGCTATTGCGGGCCAAGGCTTTGCTTCTTTATTTAGGCAAAGCTTAAAAGCTTAAAGCTTAGCTTTATAAAAGAATTACATTAGTAAATTAGGGATGACAAAAAGGTTCAAGCCTATACATTGGGTCAAAGATGATAGCCCATTTCCCTTGAGATTGAGGCCCCTTACCAACGAAGTATTGGGCTTTGCTTCTATTCCCCTTATTTGTGTAGGAGTTAATAAGGGTTTTAATAAATGCTTTGACAGACAAGAGATAGAAGAAGAATGCCTCCAGCGGCATAGCCGGGGGCGGCTCTGCCACTTTTATTTAAGGATCGTCTTGGAACGTAATGTTAGTTCCGTCCAGTTTATTTATTAAGCTTTGCTAATTTTATGAACTTATTAATAAAATTTAATTAACAAATTCCCCCTCTAGCTTTGCCAACGTAGGCCTGTCATTGCTTAAACAGGCTATACTTTAATGCAGAGTGTGTGGCTTTCACTCCGTTAAATAAAAGATGAAATCTTAGGATGGGGATCTTTAAGAGCTCCCTCCCCCCCTTGTTTTATACAAAGTGAGGTCGTAATAATTAATAGGAATTAGTGTAATGGTAACACATAAGACTCATGATCTTTTAATGGTAGTTCGATTCTACTGTTCCTACTATAATAATATATATATTAGCCTAATCCAAAATTTATTATAATGGTTATTTGGCTCAGAACTCAAAGTATTGCAGGGGGGTCACAAGGCCGTTAAAAAAAAGCAAAGTCCAACACGGTTTACGGTATGCAGAGCGGGGCTTAGAAAGTTTGTTCGTTGATAGGCCTCCTTCGGATTTTTTGCAAATGAATATGGCTTCTAGCAAAACTTTGGCCTAGAATAGCCTTTTGAAATTTAATTCTTATACAAAGGCAAGTAAATATTTAAACTATAAGCTTCGTCTGAAAATTTCCCACCGCAAG